TTGACGTGGCCGGAAATGAGTCATAAAAGTAATCTGGTTTCTTTATTGCCGCACCTTGTGTATGTGTATATATATATATATATAATCTGCACTTAGGTAATATGTTTTTCACAAAAGTAAATTAAATAACAGTAATGATAAGATCTCTTGGACTAGATATCTGTGCAGCAGTAATGTAGGACTGAGCAGGTTGTTCTGGGGGTAATGCTCTAAACTTGTATTTGGTAGGTGCTCGGTTTGATTCTTTCCTGGGAGAGTAGCTACCCTGACTGAAGAATTATGTGGTTTTCCTCAGTCTCTCCAGGTAAATGCTCGGTTAGTACCTCAGTTAAGTCATGCCTAAGTGACCTCCGTAGTCTAGGGGTAACGTTCCCACTTCATGACTCACGGTACGTGGGTTCAAACCCAGCAGAGCTCGTGGAATTTTTAAGGGCAGAAAAATTCAGGGAACAAGTCCTCTGGGAAGGACTTTAAGCCGTGTGTCCCGTGTCGTAGATTTACAGCACGTAAAAGATCCTCATGTCTCTAGGAGACCTCTGAGCAAAATTAGGCAAAGTTTCCCGCCCAAGTAGTTTCTAATTTCTCTGGTAGATGGTGAAGTATTGGGGACCACTGCCAGAGAGGTGGCCGACCTCGCTGGCAGGATGGGGCTGATAGCGAGCACCAGTACTGGAAGGGCATGGCGACTGGTAGAATATCGAAGGGGGACACACCTTAGACTACTAGTCGTGGTGCATGGGGAAACCCACCCCCTCCAAAAATAATAATAATAATAATAGGTCATGCCTGCTTTCTTTCAGATCCTTTAATTCTTGAGTCACCCCACTGTCCAATGATATATTCTTGATACTGAAAGTGTTGTTAAATGACTTATGAAAAAGCAAGGAAAGTAGGCTTCTTGTTATAAGTTAAAAATTCCTGGATAAAGATAACTGAACGCAGTAAATGCTGCTTGTGCCCATGCAGTACACTGTAAAGGTGTATAGGTGGAGTGGAGGTAGAGCCCCATATATTCTAGACCTTAGCCCCAAATGGAGGTGAGTGGTCAGTTTTATGCTCTAGTCACATTATTCCTCCAGAAAGAGAACCTGATAATCTTTGGCATCAGTGTGCAAAGTATTGTTAAATATGCTACATAGAAACATGGCCTAGGTCAGCTTTTCAAGCAGTTGTCAGAAGACCAAAGTTGATGGCCATTGATTGTAGTTCACATAGCTTCATGCCCAACTTCTGTTAACATCCATTTTAATATTATTCTTCTGTCTGTACATAGTTCTAGACATTCAGTGTGGGTCCTGTCTATATTATTGTGTACTTTTTGGGCATTCATGTTATTTTAAGCAAGGACTTGCCTGTACCTGGTGTCACACCCGTTGTACCACCATGCTCCAGTATGAGACTCTGCACAGTTGCCATCATGCCAGTTATCGTGATCCATGTCATAAGTAGAGAACTTCATGCCGGCATGGTACATCAGTGAATCTCCTGCATATTTCAGTTAAACATAGTTATGTATTGAGTTGAGTCTTTATCTCCTGGGATATAACGCCATATAGTCTATTGAAAGACAACTGATGTTTTTGAGGATCACGTCACCTCCAGCTTCAGGGTCGAAGAATAAGCCAAGCAAGAAACTAGCATGAAGCAGGCAGCCTTTTCTACACAGGCATTATATCCCAGAAGACAGAACCCTTCATATCCATCACTGAGAGAACCTGAAGTCCTATACACTTGACATCTTATGGGCCAGATTTGGTGGCTTAAAGAAAGGTATTGTTTTTATCTGTGATATTCATTGAGTCCTAGGTTTTCATATTAAGACAGTTGAAGGGGTTATATAGCCTCAAATAAGATGGAAGATGTTTGTGAATAGTGAGTAGGTAAGTAGGTGGACATGGCCAGATTGAAGGTACTCACTTGAAGAGACTGACGAGAAAAACTGTGACAGTTCTCAGTCAGAATAGCTTACAGTCTGAAATTCAAATTGAATACATCCCAAATAAAGGTCTGAAATGTTAGTGCTACATCGTCTGCTCAGTGTCAGTGAGGTTGAGAAGCCACATTTGATTCAATTGTATTGGAATAAGAAGAATGTACATAAAATCATGTCAGAGTTAACTGTTTTTATCTAATGGATAAACGCATGTGTGGCCAGAAGGTCACCATGATTATGAATATGTTCTTGAATAATATCACAGTACAGTTAAAACCTAATGTGACAGCTAGTTTCACCAAACTTTCAGATTTATACCATTCATCAAATCATGATGATGATGATGATGATGATGACGACGATGTACGTAGGTAAGTCAGTAAGTAAGTTACAACCACAGAACTTAAACAAATAAGAGTACTGATTTGAAAAATGCTTTTATTTCTCAAAATTTCTCGTACACTGAGGCACTTGTCCCATCGTTTCACAAGCCCCTGAAAACCGCCAGCATAAAATTCTTTGGGCTGCTGTCAGAACCAGGCATGTTCACATGGCATGGCCTACCTCATAATGCATGACAGGTTAGGTTTTCACAAAGCCTGTGCACGATGGGTGCTGTGCATGCTGACCCCACAACACAAAATCAAAGAATGGGTCTGTCATTACGGAATCTCAATTGCTACCATGATGAAGGACATGATATGCTAGCCCAAATTGTCATGGGTGATGAGTCTTTGGTTCGCCATTACCAGCCTGAGACAAAGCGTGTGTCAGTGCGGTGGAAACATCCTGCGTTGCCTGCCAAAATGAGTTTAAGGTGACACCATCCTCCAGAAAGTGATGCTCACAGTCTTCTGGGATCACGAAGACATACTGCTCACCGCATTGCAGCCTCAAGGCGATGCAGGGTGTTTCCACTGCATTGACACACGCTTTGTCTTGGGCTGGTAATGGTGAACCCAAACACTCATCACTTGTGACAGTTTGGGTTAGCATATCATGTCCTTCCATGTGGTAGCAATTGAGATTCTGTAATGCCAGACCCATTCTTTGCATTTTGTGTTGTGGGGTCAGCATGTGCAGCACCTATTGCGCACAGACTTCGTGAAAACCTAACCTGTCATGCATTATGAGGTAGGCCGTGCCATGTGAACATGCCTGGTTCTGACAGCAGCCCAAAGAATTTTATGCTGCTGGTTTTCAGGGGCTTGTGAAACGATGGGACAAGTGCCTCAATGTACAGGGAGATTGTGTTGAGAGATAAAAGCATTTTCAAATCATTACTCTTATTTATTTAAGTTCTATATCCGTTTCTAACTTACTTATTGACTTACCCTCGTATGTTTAGGAATTAGGTGGAAAACATGTTGATGTAATATGCATAAACATTTTTGTCTTAATATTGTTAAATTGTTGCATGTTTTTACAATGTGAGCTTATATCAGTGTCATCATTATATAAAGTTTCTGTTATATATTTGTGTCTTATTTGTGCTCACATGACTTTTTAGTCATGTGAACACAAATTATTTTCCAAAAGAAGGTGTAACATGCAGATCATTCTAGCCTTTCTTTATTATAAGTTCTGAATATATTGGTTTCTCTACCTGCATCTCCTTCATAACTGCCTAGGAATGATATTGAATACCCTTCCACTTCTGTGCCAATGGCGAAGGCTGAATAGAGGGCGTAAGATTTGTCCAAGTTAAAATCTTGTAGTTCTATCAATAATTCAGTTACCTAGAATAATAGGAAATTATAAACATCAAAATAAAAGGGGAAAATAAATACTGATATGTTCATTAATAGTGTTCTCATTATGTTCACTGATATGACTATAATTACCTTATGATTTGTTAATGTGTGAAGCTTCTCAAGACCAAGCCAGAATTCTCCTCCAATATTACCAAACCCATGCTTGTAATCATGCCAGTCTCGGTAGAAATCCACAGTTCCTTCGTAACGGTTTTGTACCACCTGTTGATGATTAAAGATATTATTTATATTGTAGAAAAGTACTACAAGTAAAGAATCTTTAAAGGTTTTGAATTCCTGTTGGCAATGGAGTTTACATGAATGATCTGAGACATTTTCTTGTGATATTCCAGCCATCAACATTGGTAAACAGTTTGTTTTGTTTTTAAATATTTGTTGTGTTGACGGCCAAAATATCACAAATCATAACACACAACATGTTGTAAACCATAAAGATGATCTGAGACATGCTTATGCAGGTTTTCACAGCTGAACAGTGTTAGCAAGAAGTATGCTGTGTATAGCATATAGATTTGTTGCAGTAGAGTTTCTGGATATGGTTAAAATTCTGACTCCCAATGTCCTTTTTTTATTGCATGAGTAAACTTCAGTTGCTTACTTTTAGTGTTATTCCTCCTTTAACGTTTTAGCAGCTGTATATTGTGACACTGACAGCAAAGAAGCTAGCCATATTCTGGGTGAGGAATGTGTGTTATGCTTGTTTAATATACGATGGGGTACCCAAAAGAAACCGAACTAATTTTTTTTGTGGCAGAGCTTTTGTAGTACCGCGTTTTGCTACTATGAGCGCATAGAGCTAACATTCCTGAGTCGATAAGCCGACTACCGTTGCTTCAGAAGGTAAGGACTAGTTTCGGCAGAGTTTATAGTGACAACTGTTTTGTGTGGTCGTCGTTTTTGCAATGGCCCGAACACATCAAAATGTTGAAAAAAATCGTGAAATCATCAAGGAAGATCGGCGACGGACCATTGAAGAAATTGTGGAGCTGTCGGGAATGACTTGGAGCTGAGTTCAGCGAATTTTGGCAGGGAACGAAAAGGGTGGCTGCGAAATTTGTGCCACGACTGCTGACTGCTGAACAAAAACAAGATCGCGTGGAAGCATGCTGTGCTTTGAAAGAAGAGTCCCGAAATGATCAAAACTTTTTTTCAGCGTTTTGCTGATGTTGCTGAGGTGAAGGAAAAAAACGATGGAGGCGCTGTCAAGCATCTCAAAAGATGAATTTAGACAATGTTTTGAAAAATGGAATAAAAGACTAGACAAGTGTATTAGTGTAAGTGGAGAGTACTTTGAAGGGGATTGAAGGTTTGTGCTTAAAATTTGAATAAATAAGTTTAAAAAAAAAGTTCGGTTTCTTTTGGGTACCCCCTCGTACAGCTTACTGGGCATAGTATTTGAGGATCTTGCAGCGGTGGTTATGAAGAATTCTTCTGTATGAAATATCAGGCTATGTAGTCTGTTGAAAGTCACCCGACATTTCAGAGGGGACGTGTTCCTCCAAAATGTCAGTTGACTTTCAATAAACTACCCAACTTTATGTCCCAGAAGATAGAACACTTCAACTTACAGTCCAACCTCCTCCTCTTGTCTCCAGCTGGCAGTATGCAAAGAAAGGTACAGAGGACAGATAGGGCTTGATCCTATAGATGCCTGAAGTGTTGTGACCCTGCTGTTGCACATCCCAGCAATCTTGTGGCAGCAGCTGATCAGTGGGGTTGTTGAGAGAGGCAAAGAGTGTCTGTGGTAGGGCTTGTACTGGTGGGACAGATTCATGTTTAAAATCCAGCATTGTATTTGTGAAGTACTGCTTGGTGAGGAGATGTCCACTGAGTCTCATCGTTTGGCTGGAAGAGAAGACAAGTGGTGATGATGGATTAAAAAGGGACTTGAAAGGTGCATTAACTTCTGTGCCTAGTTTCATAATTTATTAAGATTTCCCCTCCCCCCCCCATTTGGTGCTACAGCCCCAATATGGGCCTTGGCCTACCTCCATGAAACTCTCCACGTCACTTCAGCTTACTGGTTTTTAGACATTTGGTAGGGCTCCTTGGGCAGGTGATCAGCTCGTCACAAGGCCTCTACCTGTACACAGATACAGAAAAACACACACATGTGCGTGCACACACGCACGTGCACACACACACACTGAACATCCATGCCCTGAATGGGATTCTCACCAATGATCCCAGCTTCCGAGCGAATGAAGACAGTGCATGCCATAAGACTGCTTGGCTACCATGACTGACTATTAAGATCTGAGTTTAGGTAATTTATAATGCGTTCTATGATTGTGTAGTTTTCTTTAGCATAAAGATTATTGAAACTTGGAAGCGAAATTGTAGCAGTCATAGACATCACACTTGGTAATAATTTACTCAGTTCACTGTGATCATAGATACTTTGACATCACAGTTTCACTTAATATACATGCCATGAAGTTAGAAAGTTCTGGACAGACAGGTACATTTATATGAAAGTACAAAAATTGATAGAATAACAATGTCCTGTAAGTGGTGTTGCTGTCTAAGGGTAGACTATGAATAAACATACAACATGTTAGACTGTACTTCTTTCAGAGACTGGATCTGTCTCCTTCATGTGGGTAGGGAAGGATAAACCTACTCAGTTGAGCCCGTTAGAAAGAGCTAGTCTCAATCACTGGAGAAACAATGGAGTGTAGAAAACAACCTATGAACAACTGACAACCGGTTCCATCAGTGGGAGATAAGAATAAAATCAGTAAAAAACATGATAGAAAATTTGTGCCAAGCATGCATATGTCAACAATATAAAAAACAGAAGTATAGATTAAATTCCAGGAATTCAGTTAAAAACGAAAGTAAAAACTTGAATAATGCATGCCTAATCTGTGTGAATAAAGAATTGTGCCACCAGGGCGACTTCCGGGAATCAGGCTAATCCCCGGAGCAAAACTTGCAGAAGTAGTGGAAGCCAATAATATTCATAAAAAATTACATTTTTTATTTGTTAACCTCTTCATTGATGAGGGGAATCAATATGGGAGAAATATCCAAACTAGGTTAGCTGATCAGATTGGTTGAACATGCCATATGAGCTGATTCGTTGTACTTTCTGTATCTGCTGTTACTTTCAACCTCCAAGATCCTAGCTTCATCCCCGCTTACCCTATGACCTTCTTCATATGCATGCTGAGCCAACCTGGATTTCTCTAGAAGACCCTGCTTGAGATCGTGCCTGTGTTCACGGATTCGCACAGCCATCGGTCTGCCTGTTTCACCAATGTAGCTTCTGCCACATTCACAGGGAATGCTATAGACGCACTGTGTCATCTGTTGAGGATCCCTTTTTGGTCTCATTCTCATGAGTGAAGATTGTAAACTGTGTCTAGTTTTGAAGACGGTCCTAATATTATAATTCAAGCGCATAGGGAACAAGTATAATATTAGGACCGTACATACCAGACGATGGATGAAGTCCAAAATAAGCCAAAAGAAGTACTGTATACTTCATCGTCAGAATCCTTTCAAGTGTATCTGAGTAACCGGTATGGACCCGGTATTTACCCTTCGTTTAGGAAATTGGAATACTTAAAAATCAGGTTGGCCAAACCCCTGAACCGTATAACCTTTTTTATGAGGTGTAAATCCCTAAGCATTGATCCCAAGGGCCTCTCAGTTAAGATGCCATATAGTGGTCGGCATTCTTTAAAGATTGCCCACCTGGCCAGTATGGCTCTCCTTAGAGATAGGATTCATGCTCATTGGAAGAATAAGTCTTCACAACTTCAGAAGATCCAACAACTAGAGAATTTTCTCAGGTCATCAATTAGTAGCTCAGACCAACAGCGTGTCTTTACTGCTGTGGAAAGTTAATTTAGAAACACCTTTAATAAGCAAAAAGGAATCCATATTGACAAGTTCTCCATGCTCAAGAGTCGTTGTGACAGGGTCGGGTCCGACCCAGCTGGTGGTTCTAAAAAATTTGTTTTCAGTCTCTCAGTACGCTCTTAGAGACCACAAGGAGTCAGTCCTTAGGAAGGACTTGCATTTTTCCATAGTAAATCCACACTTCAACTTAGATATGGCATGTGCTGTTGGATCGGTGATTACAAAACTCGCACAGATTTTAGGAATGGAATTCAGATGGAAGGTCAGGTCTATGTTGCAGAAGTCCAAGTCACCCACCTCCAATATTAGCAAGAAGGAGTTGAAAGCTGTGAAGTCCTTGAGGCTCAACAAAGATATCAGGATCCTGCCAGCAGACAAAGGCAACTGCACTGTAGTGCTAGACGAAATAAAATACAGGGACAAGATTAACACCTTGCTGAAGTCTGGAGTTTATGAGCCCCTGATAAAAGATCCAACAGCCAAGGTTGAGAGAAGAGTTCAGCAAATCCTTGCCAAATATAAAACTGTCCTTCCTCCCAAACCAGACATTCCACTAAGACCCATAGTGAGTTCAATTGACTCCCCGTGCTATGCCTTGGCTGGCTTCCTACAAGAAATACTGAGCCCTTTGGCCAGCAGATCTGGTTCCTTCGTGAAGAATTCCAGCCATTTCATAGAACTGATAAAGTCTGTTAATCTCCGTACACAGGATATGCTCGCTAGTTTCAATGTGGTTAGTCTTTTCATCAACGTACCAGTCGACAAAGCCCTTAAGGTCATCAGAAGTAGGCTGGATAACGATAACATGTTGGCAGAACGGTCTGTCCTGAAGGTGGAAGCCATCATGGAACTTCTGGATGTCTGCCTGAGGACCACCTACTTTCAAGGGGATGATGGATTCAACCAGAAGAAGGATGGTATGGCAATGGGTAGCTCCCTTTCTCCCGTTGTTAGCAACATTTACATGGAACATTTTGAACAACTGGCTGTCGTCTCGGCGCAGGACAAACCGTCGTCGTGGCTCAGATATGTGGATGACACATTTGTGATCTGGCCTCATGGTGCAGAGGGGATACAGAACTTTCTTACACACCTCAACAGTCTGAGACCGGCTATCCAGTTCACTATGGAAATAGAATCGGAGGGAACGATCCCCTTCCTGGACGTGCTGGTCATGAAAAAAGGGACGTATCTGACCACGAAAGTTTACAGGAAACCCACCCACACTGGCCGATATCTTAATTTCAATTCCAATCACCCCCTGCATGTCAAAAGAGGAATTGTTCATAGCCTTCATGATAGAGCTACCACTATATGCCAAGACCGGCAAGACCGGGTGTTGGAGGTTAACAGTCTGAAACGCGACCTTCAACATAGTGATTATTCTCAAGGCTTTATTGACTCGGTTATCAGGTCCAATGGTAGTAGTCATCAAAAGAAAAAAGGGGAAAAGCCTCTTGGCACGATTTATATCCCCTATGTCAAGGGCATCTCTGAGAAGTTCAAGTACATAGGGAACCACTACCAGTACCAGTAGGACCGTCTTCAAAGCTAGACACACTTTACAATATTCACTCATGAGAATGAGACCAAAAAGGGATCCTCAACAGACAGCACAGTGCATCTATAGTATTCCCTGTGAATGTGGCAGAAGCTACATTGGTGAAACAGGCAGACCGATGGCTGTGCGAATCCGTGAACACAGGCACGATCTCAAGCAGGGTCTTCTAGAGAAATCCAGGTTGGCTCAGCATGCATATGAAGAAGGTCATAGGGTAAGCTGGGATGAAGCTAGGATCTTGGAGGTTGAAAGTAACAGCAGATACAGAAAGTACACCGAATCAGCTCATATGGCATGTTCAACCAATCTGATCAGCCAACCTAGTTTGGATATTTCTCCCATATTGATTCCCCTCATCAATGAAGAGGTTAACAAATAAAAAATGTAATTTTTTATGAATATTAGTGGCTTCCACTACTTCTGCAAGTTTTGCTCTTGGGATTAGCCTGATTCCCGAAGTCGCCCTGGTGGCACAATTCTTTATTCACACAGATTAGGCATGCATTATCCAAGTTTTTACCTTCGTTTGAACTGAATTCCTGGAATTTAATCTATACTTCTGTTTTTATATTGTTGATATATGCATGCTTGGCACAAATTTTCTATCATGTCTTTTACTGTGATTTTATTCTTATCTCCCACTGATGGAACCGGTTGGCGGTTGTTCATAGGTTGTTTTCTGCAATCTGCTGTTTGTCCATTGGTTGAGACTAGCTCTTTCTAACGGGCTCAACTGAGTAGGTTTATCCTTCCCTACCCACATGAAGGAGACAGATCCAGTCTTGGGATGGATGAAGTCCAAAATAAGCCAAAAGAAATACAACATGTTATCTTGATGTATTTAATGACAGGTTTTGTCACTAGTGCAGTTAGAAATATTTTGTTGTGATTTAGTGTGATTTATTAATAACACAGATATGCAGTGCTCTGATTTACTAGAAAATGACTAGTGGAACACAGAAGACAGATTGAAGGTTGCTGCCTTCAGGGTAGAAATGGAGGCAGCAGCTTTCTCTGAAATGTCTGCAGACTATCAGACTGCAAGGCATCAGATCCTTGAAGACAGTGATCTTCAGTGAAACGTTATTTATGAATGGAAAGAGTCTGTCTTCTGTACCTCTTTTCTGTATATTCTTCTGCTCAAGTGGATAGTGTTTCAATATTGGTGTTAAATTCCTGGTACCTTGTCATATTACTGAGTTTTGTGATGTTTGTCTTGAGGGCATTATAATCATCTTTCAGGTTCCCTATTGCTGCACGAATGGTATATACAGTTGTCACCATCATTTGCAATTTGTTATTCATGTCATCTTCAGCTGGACCTAACACCTTTCCTTCTACAAGAAAAACATATACATAAAAATATAACAAATATGAGTGACATTATGCTGTATGATTTCTTTTTGACATTACATTTGATTAAACATGTCACTGATTTGAGTTCTGTGATTTGAATCTTGGTACATAAGTTTACTTTAATAATAACGTGACCACTTGTGATTAGCAGGTTAAGAATTCTTAAGAGACAACTAGGACACATAATGTGTTTATAGTATATTGATTGCATATTACCTTGTCAGTAACTCACCTGACCCAGCATGAAGGCTACGTATCTGGTCCTGCCCATGTTTGAGCCCATTGGTGTCTGTCTTGATGGCTTCCAGTGTAGCCTCCATCTTACTGCTCAACCAGTCTAGTTGCCGTACCCGCTGTGATACATCCCTTAGCTCTGACTTGATGCCTTCACTTTTCTCCTGTGTCTGGACTTCTATCTTTGTCAGCCTGGTACAGAATAATGAACCTGTCTAACTCCATGTTGCAGGGTCTGTCAAAAACCTGATAGTTGCTCAGCATGACAAGAAATTCATTGCATTTGTAGGACCCAAATGTTCATTTCCATGCTCACAAGAGCCCACCAATGTTAACTAAGACTGTTTCTCTATCATTCATTCTGATTTTATCTCCTTATCTATTATTTCTAGCTCTCCCAAATGGGCTCTTTCTCTAAGCTTTTCCTGGTTGTAATTTTGTAGCACTTTTCATCTCCCCTGTGTATGCTGCATGTCCCACCCATATCATCATCCTTGGAATAATGAAGCATAGAATGAAATTAAAAGAGTTTTGAGAGTTCAGACACTGGTAGTAGTGTCATCTTTATTTGTAATTTGCAGTTAAACCATTTGTTAATCTGTAGAGGTTCACCATATGCACCAAGCAAGTTGGTCTAGCACTAGTGCTCTAGATTGACTGAGTTTTCTTGTGGTTTTCCTCAATCTCCAGGCAAATGCCAGAATAGTACCTTGATTAGACCATGATCATTTCCTTCCAAATGTTTTCCAACTCGTCATTCATCAGCCATCCTAACATTTGAGGCTATGTAGTCTCGATTCTGACAGTGTCATAAGATAACCCACAAAAAAGGAGATGTAACACACTGAAATGCAACACAATTCTTTTTCATTACTGAATGATGCCAGAAATATCTCTCAGTGTATTGAAAACTACTCCCCTGAAGATGGGAGTATATCCAACTTCTGAAATAATATTTATGTTTAAATGTACTTGAGACATTGGACAGTGTCTATTCTGAGTGTAATGAATGAACCATTATCTTAAATATCCCTTTGAGAATATTTCAGTTGTCTCCTCATTAATGGCATTTATGTATATGATTGAAGAGAAATTTGTAGGAGAATAATGTGTGTATACACACACACACACACACAAAACGGGCGTTATTATTTGATGTACATGAAGACAAAAGAACTAGGATGGAAAGAGAACCATGGGATTCAAAATATTGGCATCGAAATTTGGAGTGGACTTACCTCATTTCATGTGAAGTATGGTGACATCATAACAAGTGCTGGAAATGGCCACCATTTGCTTCGAGACAGCATTGGACTCGGCGCGCCATGTTTTGGAAAGTCCTTGCCCGTACATCAGGTGTCACTTCTTGGATGGCCTCACTTATGTTTGCTTTTAAAGCCTCTATGGTTCGCTGTTTGTTAGCGTAAACTTGCGCTTTCAAATGTCCACACAAAAAATAATCAGGCAGCGTTAGATCGGGCGAGCGCGGTGGCCAAAGTCCCCTGGAAATGACGCGGTCGCCGAAAAAAGACTGGATTTCGGCCATGTTTGCGCGCGAGGTGTGTGCTGTTGCTCCATCCTGCTGGAAATAACCGATGGACAATTCCTCATCATCCAGTTGATTCACAAAGCAGTGGAAGATTTTATCGTGCTGCGAAGAAATCTAAGCTTCGTACATACCGAATCTCCGTGGTGCACGAGTTAAAAGAGCCAGATTACGTGAAGAGAGTGGCGTATTGTCAATGGTTACAGACACTTGTCCGGACATTCTGGACTACACTTGGTTTTTGGACGAGGCGTGGTTCCATCTTTCCGGATATGTTAATTCGCAAAATTATCGCATTTGGGCAAGTGAGAATCCCAATGCGATACACGAAGAACCCCTTCATTCAAAGAAGATTGGTGTTTGGTGTGGAATTCCCGGCGGTGCATAATTGGACTCATTTTCTTCGACACGACAATCACAACAGCAGTGTGCCTAGATATCTTCCACTGCTTTATGAATCAACTGGACGATGAGGAATTATCCATCGGTTATTTCCAGCAGGATGGAGCAACAGCACAGACCTCGCGCGCAAGCATGGCCGAAATCCAGCCTTTTTTCGGCGACCGCGCTCGCCCGATCTAATGCCGCCTGATTATTTTTTGTGGGGACATTTGAAAGTGCAAGTTTACGCCAACAAACAGCGAACCATAGAGGCTTTAAAAGCAAACATAAGTGAGGCCATCCAAGAAGTGACACCTGGCGTATGGGCAAGGACTTTCCAAAACATGGCGCGCCGAGTCCAAAGCTGTCTGGACGCAAATGGTGGCCATTTCCAGCACTTGTTATGATGTCACCAGGCTTCACATGAACTGAGGTAAGTCCACTCCAAATTTCGCTGCAATATCTTCATTAGTATCCGAGTTATTAACAAAATGCCGGGTTCTGCCCCGAGTGAAACACCCTTTATTACAGAACTATATGATCGGCCCAGAAACCTTTGAAGTGGAACCGGAAGAAGAAGTAGATACAGACAAGAATGGACCATATATTTTACAAAGTGAGGTGGAAAAAGCTGTCAAGGAGATAAGGAATGGAAAGGCTACAGGAGATGATGATGTACCTGGAGATGTGCTTAAGTTACTGGGAGAAGGTGGTTTGAAAACACTGACAAAACTAATAAACACCATATATGAAACTGGGGAGTGGCCCAAGGACTTTGCAGAAGTGACAATGATTGCCTTAAAGAAAAAGACAAAAGCTACAAAATGCAGCAACCATCGCACAATAAGCCTTATGGCACATAAAGATAATAGCAAAGATACTTAAAAGAAGAATTGAAAGGAAAATAGAGGATATACTTGGAGAGGATCAGTTTGGATTTAGAAAAGGAAAAGGAACCAGGGATGCAATTGGGATGATGAGAATTATAGCAGAACGAACTTTGGAGATAGATGAAGAACTGTGTGCTTGCTTTATAGACTGGCAGAAGGCATTTGACCGTGTAAACTGGACCAAATTAAT